TTTATTTTGAAAAGTCCTCCCCGGATGAAATCATCCCGATATTTTTTTTTCCCCTTTACACGGTCAGAGTGGTCAGCTGATAAATGCGAAAGAAATACGAGGACGACACGTCACGACGCATTACGAGGTAGGTAGAAAAATGTCATTACACACTCTAGTCACGGTTTGCTTGTGACGTTTGCCGTTATCCTTGTCGTGGCTGTTCCGTTAGCAGAGGGGGAATTCTCTTGGAAAGAGAAAGACATTCTCGTTCTTTGGCATCGTTTTTTATGAACGGAGTTGCAATGGAAAGTCGAAACGGCGCCACGTCACGGTGCACTTGTGTACCGGCTTTTAAAACAGTTTGACAAGTGAACACTTGTTATTCTCGCGGCTTCGTAAAGCTTTTCTGGGATTGTGTGTTTTGTTGTTCCTGTTTCAAATTCATGATCAAATAATCACGTGACTTTTACACTAAAACTGCTTGCAACTACATGACAAACACTTCCGTCGGTTGAGTCTTCATTGTCCATTGGTGTGAATGTGAGTGTGAATGGTTGTCTGTCCAGTATATGACTGACTGCCAACCAGTTCAGGATGCACCCTGCCTCTCGCCCAAATTTAGCCCAAATTTAGCCCTCGTCACTTGTGACTTGATAAGGACAACCGATGTTGGAACTGAGTGCATAAACCATGGCACTGCTTTATTGTATATAACGAAACAAGTTTGTGTTGTGTACAGGAACATGTCAGCGAACCATGCCAAGCCCAACATCAGCCACTCTCAGGCAGTAGACATTGTTAAGAAATACTACAACCTGACTCCCTCTCAACTCCACTGCCTGCCCAGCTACGATGACCAGAACTTCTCTATTACGACTGTCGAAGGTGGCGAGTATGTGCTGAAGATTATGAACTCAGTGCACACAAAGGACCCGACTTTGATAGAACTGCAGACATATGCAATGAACTTTCTGCACGAAAATGGACTTCCTACACAAACAACCCAGAAAACAACCATGGGACAAGTCATGTTTCTCGAAGGCATTGGTAGGATACACAATTAACTGACTGATAGAGACATAGATAGACTGAAAAAATAGGTCATCTGGATTTAGATGCATTTTTTTTTAAAGATGTATAGTCTAATTAAAAAATGTATCTGGATCCAAATGATTTGACAAACCCATTTCCAATGAAGTTGGTACGTTGTGTTAAACATAAATAAAAACAGAATACAATGACTTGCAAATCATGTTCAACCTATATTTAATTGAATACACCACAAAGACAATATATGTAATGTTCAAAGTGATCAACTTTATTTTGTTTTTAGCAAATAATGATTAACTCTATGGCTGCAACACATTCCAAAAAAGCTGGGACAGGTGGCAAAAAAGACTGAGAAAGTTGAGGAATGATCATCAAACACCTGTTCGGAACATCCCACAAGTGCACAGGCTAACTGGGAACAGGTAGATGCCCTGATTGGGTATAAAAGCAAAGATGGGGCGAGGTTCCCCTCTTTGTGAACAACTGCATGAGAAAATAGTTGAACAGTTTAAGAACAATATTCCTCAACATACAATTGCAAGTAATTTCGGGATTTCATCATCTACGGTGCATAATATCATCAAAAGGTTATTTTCCAAATACTTGGGGATTTACATGGATAGCAGGCTTAACTGGCAGACACACGTATCAAACGTCTGCCCGAGGACCCATCAATGCCTTTACTCCTTGTGGCGTCAGACAATATTTGGAGTTGGCAAAAGCATTATGTTGATTTTCTACAGAGCGACCATTGAGTCTATCCTGCGCTTTGGAATAACCAGTTGGTTTGGGAACCTAACTGTTAAATATAAAGCTCAGATAACCAGCTTGGTTAAGAACGCAGGGAAGATAATGGGGCAGCTCCCACCCTCTGCTCCCCAGGACATATATGTCCAGTCCGTTATTCAACAGGCCAACAACATTTTAGATAATCCTTCCCATGCGCTACACTCCCAATTCAGGCTCCTAAATTCAGGAAGGAGTTATCGGACTCCTCTCTGCAAAGTAAATCCATATTCAAACTCATTCATACCGCAGGCTATTAGCTTAATTAATAAACAATTAGAGGGAGGCAGACAGACAAGCAGGAGGACATGAAGGCAGCGTGTGGTGTGCATATGCCTGTAACGCATTGTCCTATGTATGTGGAGTATATGTTGTCCTGGACTGTATGTATTGTCCAATGTATGTAGCGGGATGGGGGCCTGTCCTCTGAGACAAGTTTCTCCTATGGGAGACCAAATAAAAGTCAAATTCAGAATCTGGAGAAATTACTGCATGTCAGCGGCAAGGCCGAAAACCAACATTGAATGCCCGTGACCTTCGATCCCTCAGGCGGCACTTCATCAAAAACCGACATCACTGTGTCAAGGCTATCAGTACAGAGGTTCAGAGACACTTCAGAAAACCAATGTCAGAAAATACATTTTGGCACTATTTCTGTAAGTGCAACTTAAAACTCTACAATGCAAACCAAAGCCATTTATCAACAACACCCAGAACCGCTTATCTGGGCCCGAGCTTTTTGAAAAGTGGAAATATGATCAAACAAGTTCAGATTTCCAATTGTTTTCGGAAATGGTTTCCTCCGGGCCAAAGAGGAAAACCACCATCCGGATGGTTATTGACGCCAAGTTTAAAGGCCAGCATCTGTGATGGTCTGGGTTAGTGACATTGATATGGCTGACACACAAGACACATCTGTGAAGGCACCATTAATGCTGAAAGGTACATACGTACAGGTTGTGGGCAAACATATACTGCCATCCAAAGTTTCAACAATTACTGTCCTCAGTTCCCAAACATTTATTGAATGTTGTTAAAAGAAAAGTTAAGGCAACCAAGTGGTAGCCCTGTCCCAACGATACAGTCTATCCGGTGTATCATTAAATATCTTGTCATTGTAGTGTAGTCAATTAAATATAGGTTGAACATGATTTGAAATTTATTGTATTCTGTTTTTATGTTCAACACGACGTCCTAACTTCACTGGAATCGGGTTTGTATTTCATAGGAAATAAAATTGAGTACATTTAACACTGCCATTTTTTTTCAGTGTAGATGGATGGATGTTTTGCTGTGACAAGGTGGATATAACACCTCTACAGTCCAGTTTATGGTTTCCCGACTTGCTGATAGTCAGCTCTCACTCTGGTTGCATTACATCACACCTGCATAACACAAGGTGTGTTATGCAGAGGTATTTGTTATTACAGTATAAGCCGTTTCTCTAGTTTCTCTGGGTAAGTTGGTAGCTAGATCGACAGAAATTAAATGGTTACCACAGTAATATTTCCCTGTAAACAGTTGTACACTGAAAAAAGAGTACTGTACTTGATTTTTGGTTGAACATGATTAAAATGGATTAAATTAACACGTATCACCATTTTTTATTTTTTTTGAGGAAAACATGAAAAAAATACATCGGTTTTCCCCATTTTAATCATGCACACCCAATGTACATGCTCGAATGAAGTAAATCCAAAGGATGTTTTTTTCAGTGTATTAATCCTGTAGTAAAACCAGCGATACGAACAAAAGCAAAGAGCAGCATTTGGGAGGGAGGAGGGCAATGAATTGTAATCTAAACATGGAGAAAAAAAAAGATTAAAATGTTGGTAAGCAGCAAATCCAATGTAAATATATTTCAGTGATATTTGTAAAAAGTAGGAAATATATAATTGTTCCTATACGTTGTATATACAGTATGATGTAGGCTACACTACTGTTACATTACTGTTAGATAGATCACTGTAGAGTTGGGGATATTCGGGTCTCAGGTCACAGCTCAGAAGGGACATAAAATGGTGAACCCCTGCTGCGAATAGTGATCAGCGAAACCTGTCTTAGTTCTATTTCACATTGAAAGTTGATAGAAATTATAGCAATTAAAATAATGAAAATGTGCAAATTGAAAAGCATGGTTACTGATAATCTGAATTAGATTCTGCTCAGAGTAGAAAAGAGATAGTTGCCATAGAGACATTTTGAGCATCACCGCCACCAAATAAGGTCACTGAACACCAAGTACAAACACCTCAGGATCAAACAATTGTAGTTCTAAACCACTGACAATTACACAACAGATTAAACTGCATGTCAAATGCTGCAGCAAAGTAGGCCATCTGGACCTGACTCCAAATGACTTGCAAATGACTTCCAAATGTCACGTTTATCCATTTATTGTTTCTTAAGGTCCCCCACACAATGTTGCTCGAAACAGAAGACAAAAGCCACACTAAGTGTTTGATTGCTCTATTTGGCAGATTGTGGCTACGGTTTACAGAAGTACCTGGTGCGCCTGTTGACTTATTTGCCAGGAGTCCCTATTTCCGAGGTGCCTTTTTCACCACAGCTACTTTATGAAGTAGGCCGGACAGCAGCCAGAATGGACAACGCCCTCAATGAGGTGAACACAATTTTATCGTCGAGCATGTGATCTCCCTTGGTTGGTTTCAGTATTGTACAAATTGACATGGTTGCATCAAAGCAGCAGTTTTATCAGAACCAAAGGCTTTTCTTGATTTTCACTTGTAATTTGAGGATTTTAACCCATTATTACTGAATGGGTTTATAACACGCAGTGTGGACTCCTGAAGAGGAAGACATTTGGATAGGTACTTGGATGGATGTTTTGCTATGTTTTTAAGGTGTGTACTGCAGTGCTATAAAAACTTTGCAGTCCAGTTAATGGTCTACCCGCCTTGTTGATCATCAGCTCTCACCTTCTGGTTGCACATGTTGCGTCACACCACACCTGCAAAACACACCTTCAGAGGTATTTGTTATTTCAGTATAAGCAAAGGATAAGCCACTTCCCTAGCTATTCCGATCAAGTTGTGACGTTGTGTTAAACATATATAAAAATACATTGATTTGCAAATCATGTTCAACCGATATTTAATTGAATGAATATTTTCAGTTTTCGTAGTTTCATTGAAGTAATCGTTAATTTACGTTTTCCGGAGGCGGTCATGAACGCCCCTCGAGTCGAACAGAAGTAGCGTAGCTCCATCTAGTGGATGCATTGTAGATTGCGCCTTATAATCCAGTGCGTCCAATATCTCAAAAAAATTACAAAATAGGCCATTCATTGAAGGTGCGCCACATAATCCAGTGCGCCTTTTAGTGCGGAAAATACGGTAATTACTAACTTGGAATTTTATGGCCTCAACACGTAGAGAGCAAGAAGGCGGTCTTCAATTGGCCACTCCTCAGTGGGAAGCTTTACATCATCTGCACTTCCTTTTAAATGTACTTGCACACATCCATCTACTGCAGTCTATATGCCATGTAGACCGCGATGCCTCTCACTGTGCTGAATTTTAAGGGAATGAGTGGAGCCACTTCCACTGGATGGCAAACAAGTCGGCTTCTTTCTTTCCCACAACGGCGCAAATGCCCCTTCCACTTGCTCCAGTCGAGGAAAATAGCAAAAGAAAGGAAACTCCACCCATGAGCACAGTTAAGACTGCACTCTGCGGTAGACTTGCAATGGGCATGACAATTGGGCCCTGAAAGTAAAATGTACTCTGAATACTAAGGATAATTTTTGTCACGAATATGCCAGTGTTTCATGTGATTGAAAAGGGCTGCGCCATTTGACCCTCTCAGAGACAGCGGTAACTATACAGTGGACAGCTTATCATGTTATGTATTGTATTATCATCTTACAGGGTATCATCATTGGTGCGTGATAGGGTTAAGTATAAATTAACAGCGAGTAAAATAGTTGTGTTTTATAAATAAGTGTTATGAGTGCTTTTATGAACAGGATTATCTGTGTGTGTTTGTTTTGTGTTTTACAGCTAAGTTAGAAGCTCTTTGGAAGGAATCTTTGGCAATACACCCTCAGCTATGTTGATAGCTTTGGCCATCATATTTTGAATTTCCAAACATCCTATTTCTGTTATTCTTTGTCCCCAGATGCAACATCCTCAACTTAGTGTGCTGCAGAGGGAAGGATTCATATGGAGTTTGTCAAATATTCCCCTTCTGGAAAACTACATGAAAGTGCTCGAGGGACAACCTCTCCTGGGGGTTGTCATGTCTATCCTCCATCAGTACAAAACCACCGTGGCCCCCACATCCTCCAGTTTTCGCACCTGTAAGCGTTGTTCTGTCTGGTGAACATGTTTGTGAACGATGAGCAAAGACTGGATACACCCTTGAATAGATAAATGAATGAAAGTCTTTTATATGGTTATTAACCCTTTCACGCACCAATCATGACAACCTGTAACCTGATAACTTGAAAAGCTTGTGTTTTTTTTCTTTCCTCAGGCCTCATTCATGGAGACTTCAATGATCTCAATTTGCTGGTGCAAGATGATGAAAGCAACGGCTACAAGATTTCTGGGATCATCGACTTTGGGGACATGAACTTTGGTTGCTATGTCTATGAGCTCGCCATCGCCATCACATACATGATGCTGGAACACCCCAACCCCATTGAAGTGGGTGGACATATCCTAGCCGGCTGGGAAAGTGTTTTTCCCCTCAACGCGGCGGAGAGAGACTGTCTCTTTTGGTTGGTGCTGTCACGCCTGTGCCAGTCAATAGTGATGGCTCATCATTCGGTGACTTTGCAACCTGAAAATGAAGAGTATCTGATGATTTCATCCAAGAAAGGCATTCCAATTTTACACATGCTATTTGAGATGGGAAAGGAGCAAGTGGAGAAAGTGTGGTTCCAAAGTGCTGCTCGGTTCAACGATAGAACATAAGCGAGGCAAGACATTCTTATATTGATTCAAAACAATATGTCGATGAAAATAGTTTGAAAGAATCCATTGCACAACGTCATCCTCTTGAATAGAGATTTTTATTTTCCAAGCGTTATTTAGCCATATACTGTAGCATTCTTGTGCTTTCATTCATCAACTTTATAGACAAGCGAAAGTCTGATCCGATTGTTTTTCATCTCCGGTGCAAAAAAATGAGACAATAAAGCTCATAAAAGGTTTGGAGAAAGTGAAAAAAAGGTGCAATTGGTTCAAGCCTCACTATATAATGATAATGCCTCTTGAAATGGGGTGTAGGTTTAAAAAAAATATACAATTTGCCCACTCAATGCAAAACACAAATGATATGTGCTCTGTTGTTGCTTTTGAAACTATCTGTATTTCTCATGTCTATTGACAATATATCAGTATGTAATGGCCAGAACAGTTATAGTTTATAAATGCTGTAATGTAAAATCAATGTTTTTAATCCATTTCAATTGTCACGAACTCTGATACTTTTGTATTTATTTATTTTTTCAAATTAGCATGGAAATTACTTTACTTGAAATATTCGTATATTTCAGCATCAACTTAGGAAACTGTATGTTCATGAAAGCTTGAGTGGATGTGTGATGTGCTCAACATTAAATAAATGGGAACACATTGTCACACAATCTGTCTTTAGCTCTGGAAAGCACAGCTCGGAGTTAAATAGGACTACCGATACTTTTCTCAGCAAAGTCTGAGGGAATTTCTTTTCTATGCAGGAATTGCGCAGACAGGCTTGATTTCAAAATTTCAAATGCAGCCATGAGCTGCGTTGGACACTAGGTGGAGACATCATTCCATATAAACCTACCCTCTTCATCCTACATTGAGAGGCAATGGAGTCTGTGTGTACATATCTATCTAGTCAATAGTGGATCGTACCAATGCCTTTGAGAAACATGACTTGTCCCATGATTCTATATATATATATATATATATA